GCATGGGACAGACAGGGTCCCCACATCTCGGGGAACTGGAACATGTGGTGTCTCTCTCTGTCTTGGGCAGTGCTGGAGAAACTTGCCAAATTCTTGTATTTGGAAGACCTTTTCTTATATTCTACTCTTTTCTCCATACCCGTCCCTGCCCCAAAATGATTGCTTCATGGCTTTCTTTGCTAATTTTATAAATAGTTAGCACCTTTGTCTTGAAACACATGTTCTCCAGCTGTTAATTATTTGATTAGACTGCAGTTTTCTACATTTAGTCACGACTTCCTGGTGATGTATTCGAGGCCCTTTAGTTAGATTTTTGCAAGGCCTGATTGGATGTGGTAGATACCCTGTGCCTAAAGACTCCCGGGCTAGCAAATCTCATTCATAACAGGCTAATTTAGCTCGGAGGGAAGAGGATAACTGTATCCCCAAATTTAGAGGCCTCCTCACTGAGGTGTTCCTGGGCACTTGTGTCTTCTCCCTTTGCTGCCCTCAGACTTTGGCATGGGGGTCCTCCCCAGCCTGCTGGGAAAAGTCTCCTACAGACCTGCAGTGTGAGGAGGTGGGTGCCACTCCTGATCTCGTGTCCCCCCGCCCAGCCCACTGCCTTGCTCCCGTGGTCCTTCCTCCTGCCCCATCCAGGTCTTTCCAGGTGTCGCGCCTCAGAACCGGCAGGTCAGCCAAGGTGGGGGACACTAATGCAGAAGCAGGCTAGGTCTGCGGCTGTCTATTGACACAGTTACATTCACACAAGGGCTGCACTTTATAGGAAAGGATTCTCGGGGTGGGGCTCCCAACAACGGAGGGTCTATGTTGCAACACGCAGATGACTCAGGCAGATACTTTCCCGCTGCGTCACAGCTGTCCTGCAAGTCTCCTCGCGTGAGCTCGCGTGCACCCAGGTAGAATGTTTTCTCAGTCCCTGTTGCTGCCTTCCCTACACGCCTGACCAAAAGCCACCTTTGTTCCTCCACTGGAGGCACCTTTGTCTCTCCTCTGCCCAGCCTGGCTGCAAGTGGATCTTCCCCTAAATGAGGTAGAAACAGTACTGCCTTGTCACTCCCAGCGGATGGCTAATGTCTTAGAGTTACAAGAGATGGTGGGAGGAAACGGGCGGGCTGGAGGAATGTGAAATCGAGGCCTGGTCTGCTGCGTGGCCGGGTTGACACCCCAGCCCTTGAACTGCATGGACCCCTTGAGCCAGAGACTGGGCATGAAACGCCCAGGGAACCCAGCAGGCTGGAGGCATAAAACAGCACAAGGGGAGAAAAGGTGTGTTTGGGAGCCAGAGATGTCTGATGGCGTGTTGGCTTTCTCACTCAGGGGTCGTGTGATCCTGGGCAAATTCCTCGACCCCTCTGAATCTCCGTTTCCTCGCCTGTAAAGCAGGGACTGCAGGGCCTTCCTCACGGAGTTATCGCCAAGAGTCAATGGGCCTAACGGGTGAATGTGATGTGTGAGCCTCGGTGGGAAGCTGGTTAGAAAAAAATCAGGGAAATTTAAATATGGTCTCTAGAATGTCATCTAGTGCAGCATTGTTGTTCATTTCCTTGGTGCGAGGATGGCACTGTCCTTACGAAGAACTCGCAGTTCTTAGCAGATGCACGCTGAAATATTGAAGGTGAGGAGCCGTGGGTCTACAGCTCACGTGCAGATGGTGCCACGGCAGAAAGCGCATTTGCGCGGAGGTGAGGGAGACAAAGCTGGGCTGTGAAATGCTAGCTGCTGAATCGAGGTGGTGGGTATTCACATGCTCACTGCTTATTCTTACCATTTTTCTTAATGTTTAAAATGCGTCAGCTAAAAATTTGGGGAGGAAAAGAATAAGTGAGCAAGGTGTGTCAGGCACTCCCCACGATGCCCTGGTTGGCATTATTTATTTGACAAGTATTCGCTAAGACATCAGCCAAGAAGGAAGATGAGCTCGCCGGATACTGACCCGGGGATACAGCGAGGGTTTCGAGAGGCCCAGGGACAAGCATTAAGGGACCAAAAAAAAGTGCATGTGTTGACCGTAGATACCGCTGAGTGCTGTGAAGATGGTCCACAGGTGGGAGTCTGAGAAGGGGCGTGTCACACTGGCTTGGGTGTCCTCTAAGCCTCTGAGCAGGTG